TTACAGTTGCATTAACTATGGGGGGCTAGACTAGGGTGACCATATGTGCCATTTTCCCAGGACGCGTCCTGGCCAGGATTTCTATATTGCCTAAAATATCTAGGTTTTGGTTTTGTTTGCGTGTGCAGACCGATCGGTGTATGACATCAAAACATGTCATACTATATATTATAGTATATTTTAGGCAATATAGTCCTGGCCAGGACGCGTCCTGGGAAAATGGCATGTATGGTCACCCTAACTATATAGGGGACAGGGAACGATTCAAACAGTGAAAATATGCTTTCCATTGAGGAAAAAAAGAAGTCTGGTTTCACGCTGTGTCACGCTAACCACCGCACCGCACCGCACACACACTCTGCTCCGGTCCAGAGACACGATAGCACGGAGCGGATCACATGCGCGAGTCGGCACAGACAAAATGTATCAGAGCTATTTGAATTCTACACAGAATGCTATATTTTATAGCAATATGGATGAGATCGTGGCTGGCATACCCTGTCAAACGTTATTGGCTATTTTAAAAAGGGGCGGGGCTGTTTGAAATGTCCCACCCTGTCTTCCTGTTTCAGTTAAAATGACGTCAACACATAGAGTAACGCTGCGTGTTTCTAAGCATTTCAGGGGACCTTTAAGCTGCAAAATAAAAGAGGAAAAAAAGAGACATTATAAAATGAGTTGAAGACATTCAACTCATGGATGAAGACATTAGTAGTGTAGCGTCTGGACCAATCCAACACACTATATATTCTTTTTTTATATGACAAATACTCTGTAACCTCAGTTAACAAGCCATATGAGGACCCATGGACCCTTCCCCCCGGAATGCGTAACACCCCAGGAAGTCGAACAGGCTTCTTTGTTGCATGGCAACCAACGCTGATATCACTGGGTTTATTGGCCAAAAGTATGTAAAGCAGGGAAAATCCCTGCTTGTCCCAAGGAAAAGCAGAGTAGAAATGACTGTGTTCTAGTTAATTCATAGAAAAACCGTTATTTGAATGAACACACATATTTCTTCAGGCCATTGAGTATATTATTGTGACATTCTTCTTTACAAATCCTCGTTTTGTACTTCTAATAAGTGACCATTGTTTTGTTTTGATCTCTCCCCTGCGCTTCTGTGTTCGTCACTTCTGAACGGCGCATGCGCAAAGCCGACCTCATACGTCATCCGCCCGGAACTGCTTCTGTGTACAACTGTTGGCGCAAGCTACATTAAAGTGATTATTACGTTTTGAATATAGATATTTTTCTTACAAAAACGCGTTGATTCGCTACAGGAGGCCTTTGCTCACCCGATGTGAGCCATGTGAGACACTGTTTTTATGGATGGGCACTTTTTATTTAACTTCTTTTGGACTGATGCATGCAACATCTGCTGAGTGGCGTTAAACAGCTTGAAAGATCAAAGACCATTTTTTATATAACTCCGACTGGATTCGTCTGAAAGAAGAAAGTCATGTACACCTAGGATGACTTGAGGGTGAGTAATTTATGGGCTAATTTTCATTTTTGGGTGAACTAACCCTTTAAGCGTGAGCAATACTTAATATAGCGATGCTTTAAACAGCAACATCACAAATTATTCATATAGCAATATAAAAGCAGTTTAAGGGGATGTAATGATTCACTCAACTCACAATGCGATACAATTCACAATACCGATCTCAAGATACAATTTTCTCAATTTTTTTTTTTTTTTTTCAAAATGAGATTTAAGACAACTTATAAATGAAAAGTTGTCCTTTTATTTAATATAGCGATGCTTTAAACAGCAACATCACAAATTATTCATATAGCAATATAAAAGCAGTTTAAGGGGATGTAATGATTCACTCAACTCACAATGCGATACAATTCACAATACCGATCTCAAGATACAATTTTCTCAATTTTTTTTTTTTTTTACAAAATGAGATTTAAGACAACTTATAAATGAAAAGTTGTCCTTTTATTATTGCTTAAACAAAATGCTGCACATTTCTTTGTGAAACTGAAATATGTAGAATAACATAACTAAATTTAAATTTGAAAACAAACACCAAATCAAATAAACAAATAAATAACACACAAAAAAGAAATCTCTTCATATAAACAAACTAAGGCTTTGCCTGTGCTCTTTTCATTTAAAATTAGAGGCGACCACTACATTTTAATCACGGTCCAAACAAAGATGCTGCATACATGGAGCATGAGCAGTTTCTAAATTAGATTGAATAATTTCGAAATTTGAAGAAAAAACAGAATGGTCTGACTTTAGCTTTGTGAAACTATACTACATAACACATATCTGCACGAAACAGAAACAGCAGACGAGCTGAATGAGATGCAAATTCACTCTCTGACAGTCGATGGCACTTACGTAACAGCAGCTACAGTGTTTTAATACCATAGCTAAGAAAATTTTTCTGAAATTTTCAGAAAACCTTTCTGAAGACAGTCAGTTCTCCTCAGAGATACATTCATATAAACTCCCACCCCAACTGTATCGCGATTCATTTAACATCTCAACCGATTTAAATCGTCCCATATTTGTAGCGATTTTCAACAACGGCTCGGGGTGCATCGATACATCCCTAGCAGTTTATATGGGCTGCTGTAACATCTCTGACCGTCTAATGTATCTATAGGCTCCCCAGCATGACCTCTGCTCATCTGTGTGAGACAACCTGTTATGTATGTTATCATACCTGCTGGGATTCTGATGAAATTGTGCTGTGCGATTACCTCCTGCTGTTTAACACACACCTGGGAGTGCAGATGGATGAGATAACACAGCCGACACATAAAAAACAAAATCAAGCAAGAGGAAAACAAATGATAATGTTGATTGTTGGATGTATAGCCTATTGTTGTCGCACATGTGCATTGAAAGAACGGTTTACGGTAATCTGGTTACATGCTCACATCTGTAAGACCTCAAACGAAAAATCACATGAAAACCAATCAGAAATATTACTGGTCCAGTTTGAACATTTCAAGAAACTTCCAACACAAAGTCTTACGCCAAAAAATGTAAAACACGTAAGCCGTAAAATGCTTGGGGGGGGGGGCCCAGGAAGCAACATCTCAGCCTGCTGTTTCTCTTTCCTGTCTAAGTTGCTGAAATCACTAAATTAAACCACACCAGTAGCCATGAGCGCTATTCACAAATCACGAAGCCCTCGTGCTGAGCCGCACTCTGCCACAAGATCGAACAGCTGTCTTATCTCAACTCACAATTGTCCTCTCGGTTCAAAGCATGGAGAAGAACATCCATCCCCTCCGAACCCGATCCAAATGCTCTGCTTGGCTAAATATAAATCATTTATCTGAAGAGTTCAAAATCAGATCAATTGAACTGTACAAGCGAAGCAGTTTGCAGAAAGGAAGCGAAGCAAGTTTGAAAAGAAAATGTCTGAGCTGAGCATGCATCTGTTCTCAGAAAAGATCATTGAGATTATAATGTGACAGATTTTCCTCTATGTCCTTCCAGGACTATACAATGCCGTGGCTTTGTGTGTCTTTCATTTCCCTGTTCTCAAAGGGGGAAAAAATGAAACAGTTAAAATCAGGCCTGATTTCCTAATATTATTTTGTTCTATTTTAAGCAAATTCTTGTAAAAAAAAAAAAAAAAGGTCCTCTTTTGAAAAAATAATAATGTATATTCTTTAAGTCTTTATTGGTTAAAACCCATATTTGATCATCAAAATGATATATTCACACGTTTTTTCCAGTGAAAATTATTTCTTCATGCCTTAATTAGGCTTGAATGTAACTTTATACCCTTACCATTAAGTATATGCAAAATGCATGAATATACTAATTAGTCTCCGCCTCCACTCAATCATACCAGCTCAGACCTGCTCCACTTTCACTTGGTTAACTGAAGTAGTACAAGCTACATAACAGCAAGTGGCAATATTAGATTAATCCAGCTGCTTTATAATCATTTCCAGACTGATACATGTCAACTGTTTTGATTCTCATCTGTTCTTGAATTTCTTTAGATCACGGCATGATGTGTTGCTCCGTGAAATTTAACTCCGCTTTCTAAAATAATGTGGTTAATTGCAGTTCTTTCATGATTTAACAGGAGGGGGCAATTCATTTTTCACGTAGGGCCACGTAGGTTTGGACAGCTTTTTTCCCTTAATAAATGAAATCATCATTTTAAAACTGCATTTTGTATTTACTTGCATTATCTTTGTGTAATATTAAAATTTGTTTGATGACCTGAATCTTTTAAGTGTGACAAATATGCAAAAAAATAAACAAAACAGGAAGGGGGCAAAAACCTTTTCACGGCACTGTATGCTTGAACCAGAAACTGATTCTGAAGAAGAAGAGGATGAGCGAATTATGCAGGGTCGTCGACAAGTGTATCAGAATGCTAAGTATTTTATGTATCGCTCTCTACAATGTCAGACATGTAATAGTAATTTATTTCATTAGCTTTTGGCTTGACTACAGTATTAAACAGCTAATAAAGTGTTACTAATGTTACACAAACCATATTCCTGTTCACCATCTCAGACAGCATCCTTAGGCAGAAACGCTTTGCTAATGATATAAAAAGCCCCGCCCCCAAGATCCGACAGTTACATGTTTGTGACGGTAGGAAATGGGAGGTTTCAAATCACATTTTTGAGATACACTGGATTTTATGGAGAAAATGCTTAGCAATGGTGTTGGCTGATGAATCTGCACATGGTTTGTCTTTAAGCATATTAAAAACACCAGATAGACATGTAAACAAAGCTTAAAAAACTTCACCACATGGGGTCTTGTAGCCACAAGAATTCACTATGAAATGTTCTATAATGTGCTCTATAAAGACACCAGCACACCATTAAAATGTAAAAGGGCAGAGCTTAGTCTCTATCAAACAATGAGATAACGTCCCTTCGCTCTTTGACCTGAGACCCACAGTTAATGTGAGTGTGGGGTTTGGGGTCATGGCAGGGGTCAGACTGGAACATGCTAAAAGGTCAAGAGGTTGAAGTTATTTACTCACCAGGTCGTGGTTGGTTGAGTTGGAATCATCCTCGGGAAAGGGGATGTATACAGCTAAGGCCATACAGTTGGCAAAAATCGCTATCAATATAAAGATATCAAATGGCCTGAGATGAAAGTTAAGGAGTAGAACAAAGAGAATCAATAATTATTAATAATTAAAGTCAGAGGCAATTAATATATACATCCAGTCATTCTTGTGAAGGTTTACAAGTTAAATTTGCTACTAGACTCAATCAAACAAGAGAAAATCTGGCATATATTGTACATATTTAAATATGACATTTAAATGCAAGGTCAAAATGTGAATAACAAATCAAATTTCAACTCATCCCTCAAGTTGGCTAGATTAAAATGGAATTAATCCAAACCTATTATTCAAAAGTTTCCAGAACTAAACAAGGCTTAAGTTTTTCTGATTTTTTTTTGCCAGAAATTCTGATTTGTTGCTTGGGTGCTAACATTTTCATTTCATTTTTATTTTTTTAAGGGTCTGAAAAACACGGTTATGTTTTTTAGAAGCCCTGTTTATTATTAAAATTATGGCATAACATTGCTGATTTGTTTTTATTTTTCAACCCATTCTAACTAATGCTTCAAAGACAATAATTTCTTGCAATTTTAACAAAACTTTACCTTTGTTGACCAGTTAAGTACCTATATTTGCTTGGTGAATTAATTAACAGAATTCAAAAGAATTAGCAAAACAATATTTATTCAAAGCGTCACAGAAAACCAAATTTGTAAGCTTACAAGTCAAAAACATACTATAGAATTATTGTGATCGTGTGCTGTGTTCCATCAACTGGCCTGAAACTCTTACACTGGCCCCTGTTCATCTGTACATCTTTATTATTCATCACAGCTAAATCTCATCTTGTGATTGCTCAAAAGGGTCAGAAGGAAATAACAGTGAGTAGCTACTTGCATGCGGTTTAACAGTAAAACGTCCATTACAACAGCACTGACTCAGTCACTTTCCTGCTAGTGAGACGTACAAAATGTAAATAATACTGGTGTGAGTCAGAGGACCTGAAAATGTTGCAGTCTACATTAAATATTCGAAAATCAGTCATTTAAACTTATACTCTGGTTTCACAAGAATGCTCAATTTTGTGTGTCAAGGATATATCTGACAGTACATTCTGGGTTGCGTCTCACATTCCTTTTTTGCACTCACTTAATGCATTTTTTAAATCCAGTACAATGCAATGTTCTAATTTTACGCTGCTAAATACTCTTATTAGGCCATGAGCTAGGACACTAAAATGTTGGATTATGCGGCATTCAGGGGAAGTTCTCTCTGACTTTCCCATGACTCCCTTGAGTAAAGACAAGGCTGGTAGGGCTAGGCTAATATTAGCTTTTGCATGTTCCTGCACAAACGCTCACACCTGCAATGCTTGTTTCACTGTACATTATATATGAAGAGATAAATCTGAAATCTACAGCTTGGAAGCCATAGCTCCTTTATCTTCCCCGTAGAGCCAGGGAACAGATGTTCTTTTCAAAGCTCAGCTATACACGCTGACTTGCGTTTGAGATTAAGGTGTTTCTCACTGCAGGGAACACAGCTTCGCTTTAATAAAGACCACCAGACAAGCTTCTACCGGAGATGACGAGCTGGGATGTCTGCTGTAGGTGGACTACTTTCATTTGTTTACCTGTTCTCTTGATGATTCGCTCAATTACTTCATCCCACCTTCACCTATTTTCAGCACAGGCCACAAGCAAACCACACCATATGCTAGTTTTCTAGAGGAATAATGCCAGAAGAAACTCCAAAGCGTATTTACAAACAACAAACTCTGACCTGAAGAGCAGGCCACCAGTCTTTCCACATGTTCAAATGCAAGTCTGCTAAAACAGACAATATTCTGAAATCCACCACAACAGCAGTTCACTCAAAAATTAACATTCTGTCCTTGAAAACCTGTATGCTGCCATCTTTCCATGATTCAGAAACAGAATATTTCAGTCCACTAATCTTCACTAGTCCATTTTTTTTGTACTTTATTTAAGCTTGTAGGGAAAATGTTTTTGAAGTCAAGAATCAAGAAAGAGTTGTCAGAAGCATACAGGTGATGACGTTGAAGTCATGCCACCATAGGGTAGTTTGTTTAAAGCCTACGTTTACCATTTTAATTCTGGCAACTCTATTTAGGCTTCAGAATTCATAGAAGTTCATTATCGTGGTGAACAAAAAATGTTCTGCCATAACCCAAAAGCCAATGGGAAAATCTTATTGGTTTTTGTCAAGAGAACCAGGGTGATGCTAACTTCCTGGTTGGCCTACAAAAATACATCAGTGCAGCACTCTTTTGCAATTTTTAACAAGCTTCCAGAACACTCTCCTCTTCCTCCATTGGTCAGACTTCAGATAGTCCTGCCTCCAACTCCCACCATTGGTTAAGCCAATGCTGTTTTATTGGTTAGACACAGTCAAACAGCAATATTTTGATAGCACCACAAAGCCAAAATGCACACTTTTCACTGGACTCAACCTATAAATGGCTTATTTATAGTTGACTCTACATATTAAATGGACAGATGACCAAAAAATTAAAATTCTTTGCTCACCGCTATGTTGTTCAAAACCTATATGCATCTAGATATTTAAAGAAAGTCAGGATATACACAACTTTGAGAGTAAAAAAGTAGTCATACAGGTTTGGGACAACATGGGAAGGTGAGTAAATGATGACAACATTTTCATTTTGGGGGACGAAATCCCTTTAAACTTGAATATGAGAACATTTTGAACACCCCGATCGTCTTAATATTAGTCAATCTTGACTGAAAAGCGATGTAAAGGATACTTCCATTCCACGAGGCTGATACAGGCCCGGCGGATGGGGTTGTTGAGGTTGAGGCAGAAGAGAGCTCTCTGCGGCCGCGTGTTGGCCGAACTGCCCTGTTTTTTGCTCTTGGCATACTGCTGCCGCTTCTTCTGGGCCAGCGAGCCGACCGGTACCACTGACGATACAGGCACGGAGGCTGCGGGGGGTGCGGCAGGAGTCGCAGCAGGCGGAGCAGGGCCGTTGGCGCTCATGGTGCGGGCGTGGGCCTGAGTGGGGCGTCCACCAGCATGGGCCTGCCAGGGGAGATGGCACAGGGGTGGGCGCTGGAGCGAAGGGTCTCACCAACAGGCTGGCACGTCACCAGAGACAGCGACTCTGGTACTGCTGGCATAATTTGCCTCTGTGAAAGACAGAGAGGAGAGTTAGAGAGAAAACGAGAAAGCACAGAGAATATAGTGGGAGGCTGTGCAGTGACTTCCTTCACCGCTACATTATTTAATGCAACAATGTGGGTGTAGGACTAAAAGATGCATACAGTATGTCTTCGGGTCTAAAGGCCAGTGGTTCAACCAAGGTTTGAGAGCAGTCCAATGTGTGAAAGACGTCGGCACCAAAAGATCCTCTATATTTAAAGGAATAGTTAATCTCAGAGTGGGAGGCTGTGCAGTGACTTCCTTCACCGCTACATTATTTAATGCAACAATGTGGGTGTAGGACTAAAAGATGCATACAGTATGTCTTCGGGTCTAAAGGCCAGTGGTTCAACCAAGGTTTGAGAGCAGTCCAATGTGTGAAAAACGTCGGCACCAAAAGATCCTCTATATTTAAAGGAATAGTTAATCTCAATATGAAAATGATGTCCTTATTTACTCCATTTCATGTCAAAAGTACCATAACGGTAGCCCATACGACTCATGCGTTATATTTAAAGTTGAATGAAGCCATATGATAGTTTTGTGTGAGGATGGACCATTTTCACAGACTGTGATGATGTGACTTTCCACAGTTAATAACATAAATCTAGAAATCTGGGTTTTTTTGTTTTATTAATGTACATTTATAACAATATGAGTTATATAACCTCGCCATTAAATTACAGAAAACTGGTTGGCGCTGCTATGTGCTTGTTTCTAAAATAAAGACACATTTCTCTCTTCTGACCAACATAATCTTTTGATATGTTTGACTTCTTTTGGCAAGTCATAGAAGCACAATCATGTTTTTATTTTCATTTTCTGTTGGAGCAAATAGGAACACAAAAATATATTTGTGTTAATTTATAGAAGTTATATCTACAGAGATTTACCCAACTATGACGGCTTTTGTGAACCCCGGAAATGTAAAAAGGGTCCCTTTAGACCAAAGTTTTGGTTGTTATTTGACTTAAATCTTGTTCTTCAATCGGTAACACTTTACAATAAGGTCCCATTATTTAAAGTTAGTTATTGCATTAACAATTTTAATAATATTATTTAAACATACAGCATTCACTAATATTAGCAAATGCAACTTTTGATTTTAATAATGTATTAGTAAATGTTGAAATGAACATTAAGATTAATAACTGCTTTTCATAGCTAGCTCATGTTTATTTACAAATGAAACCTTATATAAGGTGTTACTTTTGATTCTATATATTTCAACTGCTACATCATGTCATGACAAAAACAGCATCCTTGTCGTAATATGATAATGTTTTATTCTAGGGCTGCACGATAAATCGAATGCGATATTTAACGCGCATCTTGTCAGTAAAGCCGGTTCTGTAATCAGCGGTAAATCTCCCTCACCTGTGGGCTTTCACATGGAGCAGCATTAACTACACAGAGCCGTTGTTCACCGACAAGCTGCGCAAAACATAAGCAAAATATGATCGTGGTTTTGCGCAGCTTGTCAGTGAACAACGGCTCTGTGTAGTTAATGCTGCTCCATGTGAAAGCCCGCAGGTGATGGAGATTTACCGCTGATTACAGAATGGCTTTACTGACAAGATGCGCGTTAAATATCGCATGCGATTTATCGTGCAGCCCTATTTTATTCCATTAAATCCAAACCATGAAACCGGGAGCATCCAATATTGAAAAGTCTGAGTATAGTGCAACAAGACTATGGTGCACACGTGCCAATTTAAACTAAAAATATTATTATTGTACAGGTTACTACGATTTCTCAACAAACCAGGGCAGCAAAAAGGAAAAGCATAACATGTCGCTTAAATGACAGAGGTATTATTAGGATAATGCCACAAAAAAAAGTTACAGCCTGTGGAAAAATCAATGTGCGTAGCGTGACCCAATGAAAACCAGCCTGCAAATAGATGCACTGTGGCAGAGAATCACACTACCAACATCCCCACATAAAAACACATTATAAGCAAACAACAGCAAAAAAAAAAAAAAACATGCTCTGCATTCAAATACAAGCAAAAAGCACACATCCAGGCTCACGGGATCCACAAATGTCACTCATATACATCTGAGTCCTTGAACCACTATAGGCCCCGCAGAGGAAATGAAGACATGCATGGAAAGGTCATATTTGCCTATATACATTTCCCTTTAAGCATTTGTCTTCCATCGGATCGTGAAAACCTAAGACATCGCATCCAAATGTGTCACAAATTCAAGCCAATGATCTGCTGTCATTGGATAGGCTATACAATCAATGTTAATCTTCACACTAATGATATAGGACATTAAGTGCACTGTATCCTTGTCAATACTGGCTCATTCATATATTAGATATATTTATCATTCCAATGTCATGCATGATGCAAACTGATAATGAAATATAATTTCTTAATGCCTTCATTTACATAGTGCTACAGTAGTATGAATACGAAATGTTGACGTTTAAACTATCTTGTAGGACACTGACACATATTGTCATTCTGACATCGCATGGCAAGGATGCATGTAGACGCATAATGCATATATATGATGACATACATGCGTATAGATAAAGAGGCTCGTGACTCTAAGACAATAACTGTAACGTTTCTTCTCAAAAACGAAATATTCCATATATGTGGCAGCCAAATCTGTGTCTTTCTTTAGATGATGCCAATGATGCTCAGTTACAACAGCTGTGATGCTGTGGTTTATAGTCACCGACTGTTTATTTCTTTTTAAAAAACGCTTGATTATGACAAGCAGTGACAACATCTAAGGTCTAACTGGACCAAACGAGCGCAAAATCCTCTGCATCAGCATCATCAGCATCTTTTCAGCTCTGACTGGGATGCAGAATAATCGCACTCCATCATTTGTTGAAAAAGATCCATTTTAACTAGGAACACGCCAGGCCGCTGCGTGAATATCGTACCTTTGATGAGGTCTTTCCGTTCTGCTGAGGAGGAGGAGGAGGAGGAGGATTCGGCTTATATCCAGAGATAAAACCCCGACATCGATTAAAACGCTCAGGTCCGATCCGACACTGTAGATTCAAATTCATCAGTATGCATTCGTTCTTTAGCGCGTGAGAGAGCGTGAGAGAGAGCGAGAGCTTCCTAGCGTTCGCCGCGCGCTGTCCGTGTTTAAGCGTCACGCGGCGTCGGTGAACGGTGAAACGAGCTGAACTCCCCCTCTGGCTGTGCACGCACAAACCGCTTACTTTAGTGTAGAGGGATCCGAATCATTTAAAGAATCGGTTCGTTCAAATGGATCATTTCATAAAATCACTTGAGCCATCATTCAGTTCCCAATGTGGGATTTTTTTCTTTTCTTTTTTTGTTATAAACTGCTCTTTGTCGCTGATTTTTTTTCTTTGTTTTGTTTTTAGGTGATATTTAGGCTATTGTTTCAACAATACTGGTATCAAAATGCTGTTAATAATAGGCAGAGGTGTAAAGTATTGGAGTACTTTAGATTCCGCAGCTTTTTGGAGCCCTTTATCTTAATTTCAGCTAAAGAGACCACTGGATAGCTTGAACTAGAGCATGACATTCTCCATTACAGTTAGTATTACTTATTATCCAAATAAAGAACTCCAGGACACATTTTTCCAGAACTTAACTGAAAAATTACTTATTGTGAGTTGGCTTGTATCATGGAACTGATATAGAAGGGCAGGAAAGATAAATGAGCTGACAGTTTAAATGCATTGAGTTCAGACGCATGGGAATGTGATGGACGAAGCAGTGATCAGCTATTTGACAGCTGGGAGAACAGCTGCACACATTCCATAGCTGTGCCTGCAGGTGTTGAGTCCTGTCTAATTAGACCTGACCTGCCAGCCACTGTTAGCCAGCCTTAGAGTGATGGCACACAATCAGCTAATGTACCTGAAGCTGTAACAGTTTATGTTGAAGAGCTTAAGATAGACTTCCTCTGTCAGTGAAAGCTCTGCCAAACCATGATCACTCAGTTTACAATATCTTTGGCAGGCAGACAGACTGAAAGTGGCTGTCTAAATCATCTTATCATTCACAAACAAAATGCTTTAGTTTTCACATGGAAATGCTTCGGTAAGTGACATAATAGAAGGTTTTGAGGATTTGTGGGGCTTTGTTATGATATTATACTATTTATTTAATGGGATTTAGTAGAGTGAGAGGGGTCCAGATAAAACAGTGACCATGTCAGTGTTGGTTGATCAATAGTGATAATTAACGAAAAATGATCGATAATGAGAATCACGTTTGATCATGAAAGATAAATATTGTACCCTAAGGTACAAAAGCTTAAAGGTACATCTTTTTTACCTTATTTATCCCTGAATGGGACATTAGTACCTTAAAGTTACATATTAGCAGAGGTGTAAAGTATTGGAGTAAATGTAATTAGTTACTGTACTTGAGTATATTTTTGGATACTTTGCAGTTGTACTGAGTATCAAAGATATTAGCAACTTTTACTCTTTGCTTTACTCCACTAGATTTGAAATGAGTGTTGCAGTTACACATACGAGGTTTATTTCTGCTACAAAAGACATGATACTGCACTCTAAAAAATGCTGGGTTAAATACAACCCAGTGCTGGGTTAAATAGGGGCAAACCCAGCAATTGGGTTGTTTTGACCCAG